ACCTACAAATATTTAATTTAATAAATAATCTAAAACAATTAAATCAGTAGTAACATTTTATGTTCTATTTAAAAAAAATATGTAACTATTAATTAAAAATTACATAACAATGAACAATGTTGAGATTATCTAGATAAATCATCTAGATAAATAACATTTTATTTTAATCTTATCTAGATAAATACAAATAAACCGTTTCAAATTATCTTAAAAAATTATCTAGGATAAACAAATATCTCATCTAGATAAATAGATTATTTGAGTCGATATTTTTCGGTTTTAATAAAATTGTTTTGAATCCTTGATTTAGGTACTTTTATTTTATTTTACTATACAATCTCATCGATTATCGTTAAATAGTATAATGTACAAAAAATGTATTAGTTTAATGATTAACATGAACGATGGCAATATTTGTGTTTATTTTTATATATTAAATATCAAATGTATACGAGTACACAAAGTATTATTATTTTAATTCCTTATATCTCTCTAAACAAATTTACCGTTTTACTGCGTCCGCTCTTTCCCTCATCAACATCACCCATCGGCATCGACGATCGTATTATTATTTACAATCTATTAATACTGAAACTGAATTATTATCAAAATAAGTAATTATTATGTTGTATAATATTTTTGGTCTAAACAACTATACACTGAAACACGTCCGATTTACAGACGTTCATTAATTATGTGGATACTTTGAATATACTAAGTTAGTAGCACTACTTATAGTACATCATAGTTCATATTATTATTATAATAATATAAAAATATAATTTTATTATTATGAAATGGCTTCATTAAATGTTTATTTATTGTTATTGCTGTTATTTGTGATTGGTGCCTGATGTTAAATTAGAGTCAATTAATAATTTTCTTTTTGAACGAAATTACTCTTCATTTAAAATTTATTCATAAGAATTAAAAATGGATAAATACATCGTTTCATCGAAGAATAATAGCATTAAGTCAAATACTCAAAAGCGAAAAAGTGAGGACGATGATGGTGACCCAAAAAACTTAGGTTTCAATCAAAATAATACGGAAACTTCAGAAGAAGAGAAGTTATCACCACAAAACTTACAAAAATCATATTTATTTAATGGGCAATTCTTTATCATCATACAATGCGATGGACCTAAGTTAACAGCACAATGCAAAAACTGTTCAAAAGTGATTCAAGGACAAAAAATCTCGACGGGGAATTTCCTTAGTCACTTAAAAGTAATTATTAGTATCATAATTAATAAATTTAGGTATAGATTTAATAATTAAAAATTAGTATTTTCATAATACTACTTTATAATTAATTTATAAATTCTAATTATTTATAGCATATTCATATAGCATTGTTACCTCAAGTACAAGAGGCTCAAAACAATGCAAAACTTTCAAATAAAACAAATGTATTTAGTCGTCCAACCAAAAAACTTACAAAATAACAGGTTTGTACTTAACAAAAAATTATTATTCTTAATCATAATACAGTACCTATTTAATAAAAAAAACTAGTTATTCAACATATTATTAGATCATAATTAAGGGGCATAACAATATATTTAAGACAACAAACTTTTGATAAATTTAATTAAACTATCATATTTATGAATTAAATAATGGGGAGGGCCGTTTTTGCGCCCAAATACCGTATTTGCGCCTACATGCAAAGACCTCGATTGCGCTTAATAAAATTAAAATAAGTTATAAAATACTTGTTTGCGCCCATTTACGTTACAAATCAATAAATTTGGCAACATTGCAGTAAAACTTAATTTTCTCGTCCCACTTTTTTCAGACTTCGAACTGACAGAATAAAATTTATTGGATTATTCTGGTGTGGTTAAAAATGTTTCTTTACTGTTTTGTTGCGTCGTAATTATTTTTTATTGTACCTATTATATTTTAAATAAATTAAAATTAAAATTTTTCGCGTTACTTTGACTTTGTTACTTATATTTTTTATGAAATTAATTGGTGATATTGATGTATCTCTTAAATTGTTAATATCCTGGTGTTTTTTTGTAACTGCTTTATTTTTTGTTTGTTTTATTGTTGTTCTAGCAAGATTTATTTTTAAATATGTATCTGTTTGAAATTCTATTAAAACTTCCACAAATTTTATGATTGATTGATGAGCGTTAAAAAAATATGAATTAAAATTTTTATGAAATGATTCACATGCGTTTGTTGTCTGTGTTACATTATTACAACCTTTTGCCCATAATTCAGGAGGGAATAGACTATCTTCGCTTATAAAATTGTCAACTAAATAATCAGCAAATGATTGTATTTTTTTTTTCTACTGGAATTTCAGACATAAGTTCTAAAAAGCAATCTGATACTTCTTGTGGGTGTAAAAATGAAAGACCGAAACAATATTGTAACCATTTTCCTTCTGGACTATTAGATTTGTACATATTTGTTAATCCAAGACTTTGAATTTTTCTGAACCAACATTGCCCCAAGTGAAATCTACAGGTGGAAAATTTTATTTCAGGCCAAATATTAGATGCAGAGTTTAAAATGTTTTTTTCAAAATCAGAATATAATTTAACAGGACAAAACTCATAGTTTAAATTTGAACATAAACGCTTAATATTTTCGAATACATACTCATAGACTTCACCACATTTTTATGGTAACAAACAAAACACCAGAGGTATGTAATGATTATTATAAAATCCTTGAATTGTAAAAAGTTGACAAAAATATTGTGTGAAATAAGTAAATGTACCATCAACGTATATAGTATTAACCGAATTTAAAAATTGCAAATTTGTGGTACAGGTAAAAATCACAATATTTTTTTCTATATCATTTACTGCAACAATCTCCTTTAGATGATAATATATTTTTTGATACTAAAAATTCTTGAACTTCAACAATGTTTTTTGGAATATTTGTTTGTATGTTTCTACACGGGTACATTCTGTCACGAATTAATTTAACGTCACCGTAATCTAACGTGTAAAAAATTATTCTTTGTAATTTCAAAACGTATAATTTGAATTGGGCGATCAGTCATGTCTTTGGCTCTTTTTTTACACGCACTTCGAATAATTTGACGATTTAATTTTTTTATATCAGTATTATGGTTATGATTTAAATTGCTACTTACAGTTACATTTCCATTTTTAATTAGTCTTGCTAAACACGATTTCATTTTACAACGCCAAGTTACATTACCAGATATACTTTCATAAACTTTTCTAAATTTAAAACTGTCGATAATAAGTAAATCTTTAAAATTGTTACTTGCACTTTTTGCAAATATAATTTTATTTTCTGACATTTTTGAAACAACAATACATCAAACAGAAATGTGTAATTGAAATGTAAATGAAGTACGGCAACGACTGATTAACTTGCAGTCGAGATTTCAGAAATACTGTATATCGACTATCTAGGTAATAAAAATTGTCTATAGCAAAGATAAAATGTTAGATATGATTAAAGATAAGTGCCTATGAAGGTATATCGAGTCACGACTGATATAGAAATTAAATTTTCCAATGTAGCAGAATGGTTAAAAAATGAAAATAATTGGGAAAACGTTGTTGCCAAATTTATTGATTTGTAACGTAAATGGGCGCAAACAAGTATTTTAACGTATTTTAATTTTATTAAGCGCAATAAAGGTTTTTGCATATAGGCGCAAATGCAGTATTTAGGCGCAAACACAGTCCACCCAAATAATGGGTTACTACCAGGGTCGCCCTGGCCAGGGCTGGAGGGCCGGGATTCCTGCCTGGGCCCTAGCCGTATTATAGTTTCTGGGCCCTTGTACTGTGTTACCCCATAATACACTATACAGCATAGTTAAATAAATCACTACCTAAAGAAATATATTTTATTAAATATAACAATCGTATTGTAATATTCAGTTAGTTTTCTATTCTATTTTTGTCTCAAAAGTAAAAATATTATGTTATAAATTTGAATGTGGAAAAAGAACAACAATAATTATTTAATAGTATATCTGATAATCGACGTGACGGTTTGAGCGTGAATGCGCCTGTGCCGTGTGCCATGTAATATAATATTATATATTATTTAATTATTATAATATTATAGTTAGCGACGCGCGACGGCGACAATAATTATATTCGATCATTATCGGTAAAATTCTGGTTATATTATATTTAGATTTCCGATAGTGCGATCGATGGCGAGCTAGATAAGCGTTGCGCACTCGCACTCGCATGCACATGTCACATTATGCCTAACAACAAATTTATTTCGTCGCGAAATGTTGTAAATCATAGACCTAAACGAATTCCAACATACCGACTTGAGTTTTACTCCGATAATAATTATGAAAACAAATTTTGTTTTGTTGTTCAATCAACTTTGAATCTTTCGAGCCACATTTTTAATTTATTATTCTTAAAAAGAAAAAACTTCACTTGAAATTTAGAAAAAAAAACTTGTATTCTTAAAAATTATAATGGAGATAAGTAGTTTAACAATTTTTTTTTTACTATTCTGATTCGAAGGATTCAAAATATACTTCATATTAAATTCAAATATGTTTTCAAAATTATTATAGGAGTAAAACTCAAGTTAATACGTTGGATCGCGTATAGGTCTATTTTACTCTAAAAAGTGTGGAATCCCCATAATACTATTTAATTGTATAAGTAAAATTGTTATCGACATTATGACGTACAAATAATTATGCGGGTAATAACGTCGATGGCATAAACAAAAAGTTATATTATATATATATATATTATATTATTTATATGTACTATTATAGTTATTAATAAATTATTATACAGATATTTGCAGACGGCGATGATAATTCGATAACATACCCGGCATTTCCCACATTCGTTTGTTGTATTTCATTATTTGTTACGTACGAGTGTCGAGAGAATGTGTTTTAAGTTTGTCTCGAGCTCATTATTATAGTGTTTTAACTTTTAAGTGAATTATAATTATTTAATTATTATATTAGTTTTGTGTTTCGTATTTTTTCGAAAATACTTTTAATGGGGCCTAAATCAAAATCGAGAGCAGCAAAAAGAGCTGCGAAATTTCATAAGGAGTTAATGGAAGATGCTAATAATCCAAAGCAAAAGAAATTAAATTTTCAACCTGCACGTTTTCAGCAAGGTAATAACAATTAGGTTATAATAATTATTAGGTATTTATTTTAAAATAAATATACAAATTTTTATTCATTTAAACTTTACCAACTTAGAATTATTAATATCAAAAAATAAGGATTCTGAGTCAATTGAAATAAATAAAATTTTGCCGGAAAACATTAACTGCACAGTCGGTGAAACTAAGAAAAATATAAATGGTATGTTATTCAAATTGAAATAGATAAATTAGATGTAGAGAAAATCGTATAGGTTTTTTTATAATTATTATTTTTATATAAAAATAGAATCAAATTTGGAAAACAAAAATGTTGAATGTACAAGTATTATAATGGAAATAAATGAAAATGAAAATAATGTGACTGATGAAATCAAAAATCAAAATGTTGAATCTACGAGTATTATAATGGAAATAAATGAAAAGGATAATAATGTGACTGATGAAATAAAAAATAATATTAATGGTATGTACTATATTGTAATTAATATCAAAAATTTTAATAGAAATATTTGTACATAAATATATGCCGAAGCACATAATTAATTTTTGATTTTAATATTAATTCATGGGTTCTCTTTTCAAATATGCCTATATTATTTTTTCATATGTTTTATAAATACTAAAATATGTATGATACTTTATACACTAATGTAACAAAATATTTAAAATTTAAAATAAATTTAATTTAAATTTAAAATTTAAAAAAAATCGATTTGGTCGAACACTGGTTTTGCGTAAAAATTCCCGTTTTCCGTCACATTTTTTTTGTTTTTCTCGATTTTTTTTTTGAAAATTGGAAAATGTTTAGACTTAAACTTTAAATACTTTATAATATTATTATTAGTTATTAGTGTTATTATATTATTTACTATGACTTAGAGAAAAGTAATTCACACGAAAAAGGACTAATGAAAATAAATGTAATCTCATTTCAAAACGAACTTTCAAATATTTATAATGACAATATGACGCCATCTTTATCAAATTTTATACCACCACCATCAAATATTTCAGCAGATATCAAATTTAAATTTTGGAAAAATCATCCTATTCAGCCATTTTTAGAAGTAGGAAAATTGAAATTAGATCGAATTTATTTAAAAAAATTGTCCAATGGTGATGCAATAAATAGGAAATGGATTTCATTTTCAGTCGACACTAAATTATTTTATTGTGCTACATGTATGGCATTTTCAGTTGGTTCTGAATCAAAATTTATTTCTGGTTATAATGCTTTAGCAAAATCAAACCATAATCCCTATAAAGATATTGAACGACATGAAAATTCGACTATTCATCAAAATGCTGCAAATGCAGTTCTTCGTTGTAATTTGGAAAATGATATAGGTAGATTAATAAATCGAAATTTCATTATGAAACGTGCAAAAGAAATAGAACAGCGTAGAATGGTACTCAATCAGGCCCGTACTGGCCCACCGGGACACCGGGAATTTTCCCGGTGCGCCCCATGATCAATTAAGAAATTAGCGCTCCCCCCTTTTTTTTATTTCGTTCAAATATATATTTACTATATATTAGAGTGTACCTATTTTATATCTGTGTAGTGTATATTACACTATATTTTGTAATTATTTTACATAGTTATTGACTGTTTATTATACTATTTATGTAAATAATCGTTTTGCTATCATTTATGATATTATTAACTATAGAACCATATAATATGTGAGTATGTGACTTGTGAAATCCGAACACGTTATCGCCGTTATCGGTGTAAAATATGTGTATACAAGACAAGTGAACATGATCATTATTTTTATTTCGGTTTTCCACTAGACACCCGTCTAATAAGATATTTATATAATTATATAAATAGAACTATGAAGTACGTTGTAATTTTGTTTTGATAATATTATTTTATTATTTTCATTATTTTAATTTTATCATAATGAAAAATAATACTGTATTACTGTCTCATTTCTTCGTGAACTATCGTCTTGTGACAACCACAGTCCATAATCCACGACTGCATACGATATTGCTGATACGATTCACTGCCAGTCAAGTGTAATACGTAAGGTAAGAGTATATTTTAAACAGTTAAAACTATCATTATTATTATTTATAATTATTAGGTCGTCCCAAGTGCACACTAGGAGACTTGAACTCGGATGTCAACGTATTTAAAAAGCTAATTGCTCAGATTTAAACAAACGTACATACTAGTATATACTACATAATATGGATGTATTCACATAGACAAAATGCGAGGACGTTCTGTCGCGTTAAATCGCACTAGTTTAATTTTGGCGAACGCTCTAAAATTAAATCATGTTATTATGCAATGTTATTATTCACACTGGGCGTTTAACGTCGCATTTATTAATTTTTTTCGTAAATTTTTAATAGTTTTAACTTTTAAGATTAAATTGTTTTTAAATGTCGAATCTCCTAGTGAGTCGTGTGTAATGCACTCTAATAAAATTTGTTATTTTTGTCGTGTATTAATGCGAAGTATATGAAAAAATGAAGAATAAAAAACTGTTTGTATATTATATTATTATATTATTTATATTATTAAAATATTATTAGTTATTATTAACCTAATAATACTGTGGCGGACACCAGCGGCGTGCGGTAGTAACTAGTATTCGAATCTGGGTAAGAGCAAAAAAAAAAACCGTTACTTATAAAGGTAAATTGTTAATTATTTAACTAAATAAAAAAACAGTTATTTTATAATGTATAGTATTTATTTACTTATTGGCTATTATATATATTTATAAACAAATCCATTCGTGTAACTTGTTTTGTAAATTTGTTGATAACTTTATCGTAAAAATCTAAATCTTTTTTTTTCGTTTTTATTAATAAAATGTTATAAAACAATATTAGGATTATTTTATTGTGATTAACAAAAAAACCCAATTATCAAAAGTTTGATATTAAAAAAAGTATTTAAAAGCGCCCGATGTATAGAGCAGGGGTCTTCAACCTTTTTTTTAGCGGGCCGCATTCGTAGTATAAACATGTATTTTATATAAAAATGCAGTTTAAGTTAACCAATTGTATCGAAATAGAAAATATACATGCTAAATTTCAAAGGTGATCGCGGGCCGCGGGTTGAAGACTCCTGATGTAGAGCTTCCAACTGCTGCGTAAAATTGTGGTTACCTACCATATACCTACTATTTAATATTTATATTATATACCTATATGATCTTAATTTCTTAATTTTCTTACCAATTTCTATAAAATTATAATATAGATAATGAAGTATAATAACTGATAAGTATACCTATTATATTTAAAATAAAAAAAACTTATATTGCTCACTGATATAATGAATTAAATAAATTTATTTATTTTTCTTCTTTTTTGAGCGGGGCTAAGGCGCTTACCTAGCTTGTCCTGACCACACGCCCCTGGTGGACACGCATATGCACTATGTATTTCATACTCGTATTATAGCTCAATATAAATTTTAGTATTTAAATATATTTAGTTTCTATGGATTCCAAAAAGAAAAAGAAGAGTGGTTACAAATTTCGGGTGGCTAAGAAACTGAAAGAATTGCAAAAGTCCGCTAATTCTTCCAAAAAAATAACTCATTTTTATACAAATAACATTGTTGAAGAATCATGTGAAACGTTCTCAGAAAACCCAGAACTAGATGATCGAGATGAAATCAATGAAATTCAGACTGAAAAATTAGAGATCGCAGGACAGGAAAAAGGATATGAAATAACAACAAATGAAATTAAAGTAAAAGAATCAAATGAAGAGTTTCTTAAGTGTAGAAATCAAGAAGCGACATTCAATGAAAATTTAAAAAATGTGATGGTTGAAACAATAGAAATAAGACAAGAACATCAACAAGATATAACAGGAAAAATTGTGCAAAAATTATACGCTAATGAAAAAATCGATGAAGTTATAAACTATTTTTGTAAGCCGAAAAGTATTGATATAGTCAACTTTTTCATTTTTCATCCAATTCAACCAACTAGTTCTTCGATAATTTCTTTACCATTTAATGAAAAGATATTTTATAATGACCAAGGAGATTGTAAATTTAATCGTAAATGGTTGACATATGATGAAAACAATCAGATGCTCTTTTGTAGTGTATGCTTAGCTTATAGTAATGGAAGTTCTACATTTTGTTCCGGATTCAATGACTGGAAACATACAAATCAACGTATTAAAGAACACGAAATTTCAAAACATCACAATTTATCGGTCAAAGCATACATCAGAGAAAAAAGGGAAAAGACGGTTCAACATTTATTGTGTGGTGAACAATTGAAAAAAAGAAAAATTGAAGTAAACGAAAGACGATGTGTGGTATTGCAAATTATTGAAGTCATAAAACTAATTGGTAAGCAGGGACTACCATTTAGAGGTAACAAAAGTGAAGCAGCTTATAAATTAGACGATTCCTCGATAAACCATGGCAATTTCTTGGAAATAATCTTATTATTGTCGAAATCTGATAATATATTGAAGTCTCACATAGAAAAATCGATAAAATTAAGTAAAGAGCATCATGATAGGGCACAAAATATAAATATGAAATTATTGAAGACTACTACTAAAATTGGAAGAGGAAATTTAGTTACATTTCTCAGTGCAACTACAATAACTACAATAATACAATTGATTGGTAATGAAATTAAAAATATAATCTCAAGAGAAGTTAAAAAAGCCAAAATATTTTCTGTTATGATGGACACGACAATGGATTTATCATCATATGATCAATGCTCGATTGTCCTTAGATATGTACCACATAATGAAGTATACGAACGGTTAATAGGGCTAAAACACGTAACTTCGACGTCTGGGAATTCGCTTTTTGAAACTTTAAAGGACACATTGGCCGAACTTGATTTACCACTGAATAATTGTGTGGCGAACGCTTTTGATGGTGCGGCCAACATGAGTGGTCAGTACAACGGTGTGACTGCTAAATTGTCTGAAGTAATCGCCAACCATGTTCATACATGGTGCTACGCCCATGTCTTAAATTTAGTTCTTTCTGATACAACTCAATGTTTGACTCCTTGTATGTCATTTTTTAATCTTATTCAAGAGTCATACGTATTTTTCAAGGAATCCTATAAAAGGTTGGCTGTGTATAATAAAGAAAATCCTTCGCTGAAACTAGCTGCTAGTGTAGCAACTAGGTGGAGAAGCAGAAATGATGCAATTGTTAAAATATTTGGTAGGATTGATTTTTGGATTAAAGGTGATTTAAGTACAGAAAATGAGTCAAAATTTGTTTACATTCAAATATTAGTAGCTCTATACGAAATATCAATTTCTAACCAATTTAATTCAAAAATAAGAAACGATAGTTTAAGTTTAATGAAAAAGTTTTGCTCTTATGAAACCGTTTTAGTTACAATGATGTTTCTACAGATATTTAAAATAACAACACCATTGTCCGATTACCTTCAAACAAAAAATCTAGATTACATTCAAGCCTGGCGTCATGTTTCTAGTGCCCATAAAAGTTTACAATCGGTTAGAAACCGTTTTTGTGATATAATAAAAGCTGCTAAGACATTTGTTGACTTTGCAATTAAAAAAATTGATGAAAAGGAGCTTCATGATATTGAAATAGAAGAAAAACTTTCGAAGAAACGCAAACGCACTGTTAAGCGTATGGACGGTGAATTAACTCGAGATGAAGAAGTTTATCCAGAAGAAATTGATCAATTTCGTATAAAAATATTTAATTATACAATGGACACTATTATAAATAGTTTAGAGGTACGATTTTTAGATCATCAGATTTTATATAGAGATTTAGAATGTTTTGATCCTCAAAGGTTCGATGATATAAGAAAAAATAGTTTATCATCTAATGCTTTAATTAAAATTTGTGAATTATTACCCTCTATTGATCAGCCAAAGCTCAAAGAAGAACTTATTTCTTTTGCTACATCTTGGCCTTTAATTTGTAAAGTTAGTTTACAGAGTACGTATGAAGATTCAGGTCAAATCGATACCGTTGATGATGACGAATTGGATAGTTGGTCTGATTTAAAGTGTAGTGAAGTAAAAGAATGTAATGTCTGTCTATCGTGCGCTTTGCGTGTAATCACTGATTTTAACATGTATTCCTTACAATACACGGAATTGTACAAAGCGTATAAATATTTACTGACTCTTCCTCTGACACAAGTGACCTGTGAAAGGTCATTTTCAAAACTAAAATTATTAAAAACGCGATTAAGGTCCACTATTGTGCAAGACAATTTAGAATCATTATTCTTAATGCAGTGTGAACGAGACATAGTAAATCAAGTTGATGGAGATAAAATCATAAATGCTCTGTGTTTGAACAGCAAAGAAATGCAACGTCTACTCACATAATACGATATAAGTCAAGTCTCAAGTTTGCTTATTATTATTTTTTTTTTTTTAGTGTTTGAAAAAGCTGTTACGGTTTATGTTTTTATGTGAAATATAAATTAAATTAAATTTTAAAAATAAGTGTACAGTTTATTTTCCAAGTCATTTTACTATGAAACATATTATTATTTCGATTGATATTTTGTTAAAAATTGCAGAATAAATCATGATCTGTGTTTAACATTTTCAGGTGTCAGTTACAAGTTTGTAAATAAAACAATCATGGGTAAACACTAGACACCCATTTTTTCTTTTTGAAGTGTATGTATAAAACTATAGTTGGCGCCCTATAAATATATTTTTTCCCGCGCCTCTCAGAGGTAGCCAGTACGGGCCTGTACTCAATAGATTGATAGACATAGTATTATTTATTGGAAAACAAAATATAGCATATAGAGGAAAACATGAAGGAGCTCATTCATTAGATGATCGAAATAAAAATCATGGAAACTTTTTGGAATTGGTCTTACTGATCGCCGATTATGATAGTATACTAAATAATCATGTGCAAGAATCAATTAAATCTAGCAAAAAAATGATGAATAAAAAAGGTCGAGGTTCTTTAAATACATTTCTATCCAAACATTTTATTAATGATAATATAATCAACAGGATAGGGACTTCAATACAGTCGATTATAGTTAATCAAATAAAAGAGTGTAAAAAATTCAGTATCATGATTGATAGTACACAAGATACGGGAGTATTAGATCAACTGGCAATTTGTGTTCGGTACTTATATAAGGGAAAAGTCGAAGAAAGGTTATTAAGTTTGGTTGTATGCAGTGACTCCAGTGGTCTAGCTCTTTTTAATTTATTGTGTAATATACTTCAATCTCTAAGTCTCTCATTGACTGATGTAATAGGTTGTTCTTTTGACGGTGCAGCTAATATGAAAGGTGCATATAATGGATTACAAGCACATATGAAAAATTCCAATCCGTTAATAGTGTATACGCATTGTTTAGCTCATATATTAAATTTAACGATGGAAGATTCAACAAAAAAAATTGTTGAAGCTGAAAACCTTTTTGGTTAACAAACAGCAGTTTTTTTATCAGATTCTTATAAAAGAATGGAAGTTTGGAAATCTGTTACTGGAAAAAACCATTCAGGACATAATAAATTATATATACTTCAAAAAATTTGCACAACTAGATGGTGGAGTAAAGAAAAGGCCTTGTCTTCTATCATAGATAAAGAATTCACGACTAAAACTGACTTGCTGAAAGAAAGTAAATTAATTACATTATTACAATTTTTAATAGAAATAAATAACGGCAATTTCAATTCGTCCACCAAGTTTATGGCAAGAACTCTAATTGAAAAATGGTCACTTTTTAGGACTATACTTATATCATTTGTGCTTCTTGATATATATTCTATTACCACACCAGTATCAATTTATTTACAATCAAAATCTTTGGATTACCTAAAAGCATGTTCAATGATTAGTATTATGTTAAAAAAAATTAAAAAAACTTAGAAATGATGAACATGTTTTATATTTATATAAAAGATCCCAAGAATATACTAAAAAAAATTAATATTTTTTTTAAAGATGAACCATTAATAAATATTGAAGAAGATTTTATTGAAAAAAGAGTTTCACAGAAAAAGATGCTTCCTGGTCAAACAGCAACAGATGAGTCAAGAAATATTACATCATTTAATAAATTCAAATATATGGTATTTTCCATCATTGATAATTTAGAAATTAGTATTTCTGAAAGATTTATACCAAATGAAAAATTAATGAAAGACTGTGGCTGGTTGGATCCAAAAAAATATTGTGATTTACAAACTATTAATGAAATTCCAGATAATATATTTAATGAAATAACAAAATTAGCAAATGTTGAAAGAATGCGCAGTACTCTCAGAATTAAAACAATTTGCAAATTACTATCATAGCATTATTCCAGAACACCAAAGTAATATATCAGAACAAGAGGGAGAAAATGAAATAATAAACAATTCAGAATCTGAATCAGAAGTTAACTATGAATCCATTCATTGTAATAAGTGTAATAAGTGCTTAGCATGTGCTTATATATTAATAGAGGAATTATCAAAACAGTCTGGTCTTTTCAATAATTTATATATCGTTTTCAAATGTGCTTTAATATTACCATTAACACAAGTAACATGTGAAAGAGTTTTTTCGAAATTAAAAATTATTAAAAATAGACTCAGATCAACACTTTCTCAAAATATACTTACTCCATTAATGCTAATATCCATAGAAAAAGATCTAACTGAAAATATAAATAAAGAAGATATAATAAATGAAATTTCCAAATCCTCAATGGAATTAAAAAGGCTACTTCAATAATTTTTTAATGTATATAGCAGTATGTATTTTATTATTTAACATTATCTACTTGATAATACATTATTTAAAAAAGTGAGTTTTAATAAAGATAAATTTAAATATTTTTATGCACTAAAAAATTTATTCCAAAATAGTTATACTTTCTTTTCCTTATTTTGATATATGGTTTATTTTTTAAAATTATTGGGCCCCAAAAAAAATTTCTGCCTGGGCCCTCAGGTACCCAGGCCGACCCTGGTTACTACTTACTATTAATTAGGTACAAATGAACAAGTTAATAAATACATAAATAACTAAAAGCTAATATATTTGACTAGTAAATAAAGTCTTTGGATCAAGTTATTTGTTATTATAAACTATGGGTTATATTATTATTAATGTGAGACCTAATATCTTTATTCATTTTAAAATGTAGGTAGTTGTTATTTTATATATAATAATAATTAATACCTATTTAATAGATTAGAATATATATTATGATTTGTACATTTATGTTATTATTTTCTTGAAATGCAAACTAAGTAGAAATATTTTATCAAAAAAAAAAAATCAATTAAAAAAGTTATAATATGTTATTTAAATTATAATCTTATAATATCTATCAAAATGCATTACCTATTACATTATTATGGTTGAGTATGGTTCTAAAAAGTATTAAAATATGATTTTTGTACTTATGCTCAACACCTATTCCAGTATCACCTCAAAAAAATTAAAATTAAATTTTTGGCTTGGAAATTAAAATATTGTTTTGTTATAGCTAAAAATGATGTAGTATGAGTATGAAATATAAAATACTTTCTGTCTTCATTGTTTTTAAATCATTAATATTTGTTTCAGATAAATAAAGTAGTATTTGATTATATAACTGATGAAATGAAACCTCTTGTCACATGTGAAAAACCTTCTTTTCAAAAGTTAATCATGGAGTTAACTGGGATTACTGATACTGCTTTATTACCAAATAGAAAATAATTAGCGTGTGATTTAAAAAATAGATATACAACATACAAAGACACACCTACAGATTTGATAAAAAAACACTTGTACATTTGTATCACTGCTGACATATGGACTGGCAACAATAAAAGCTACATGGGTATGACATGCCACTTCATTGATAATTCTTTCATACGCCGTTACTCCTATATTCTTGGATGTAGAAGAATGAAAGGTTCACATGATTACTTAAATATTGCTAAAGTTATTACAGAAATAATGGAAACATACAATTTAAATAATTCGAAAATCACACACATTGTTACAGACAATGCTACAAACTTTGGAAAGTGTTTTCGAACTTTTTCCAATGTATTAGAACAGTCAAATGAATATGATGTTGGCAATTTTAATACTGATGATTCAGATACTGAGAGTACAATCAATTATAATCATGAATCTGACAGTGATAATGAAAACAGTTATTCTAATATCGAAAGAACTAATGTTAGTTCAGTGTTAACAAGCTATTATGAACTTAATGAAAATAGAAACAATAAAAATTTTTGCTTACCACAACATATGACTTGTGTTGCCCATTCTTTAAATATGATTGCCACTACAGACATTTCAAAAATTTCTGGTAAAAATTATAATAATATATCTAAAATTAGATTTGGTAAACTTCAGGCTTTTTGGAACCTAGTTAGTAGAAGCTCTGTAGCATCAGATAAAGTTTATGAACATTGTAATTGTAAGTTTCCAATTCCAGTTGTGACCAGATGGAACTCTAAGTATGATGCTACAAAAAAATTTTATTTCATAAAAAAAAAATTGATGGTGTATTTGATATATTAAAGTTAAATAAGCTCAAACCTAATGAATGGTTGTTTTTTAGATGAATACTGCAAATTGATGAAACTGTTAACAAGTTTGTTGGACAAATTACACGGTGAAAAATATTGTTACCTAGGTTATGTTGCTCCTACATTAATAGTTTTAAGAAAATTGTTGATTCAGTCGAGTAATGTAAAATATTGCAAACCATTAGCTTCAGCATTAATAATTTCTTTAGAAAAAAAATTTAATTATATTTATGATTTGAGTAATGCAAAAAGTAAGGACTATATTATTGTCTCGATAAGTCATCCAAAGTTCAAAATGAAATGGGTTCCTACTAGATATATAAGCTTATGTAAGGCATTATTTTTAAATGAATGCAATACATTTAAAGATCAAAATTCTGTACCTGGATCTTCATCTGATAATGAGGATAGTGATGTTAGTGATGACTTCTACAACAATTTATCTGGACAAACTAAATCGTATCATTCATCTGCGTTAGACAGCGATTCAGCAGAAAATGATGCACTTTTATCAAATACAGCTAGTGTTGAAGCATTGACATATCTTAACTCAAAAAAAAAAAAAGAACTAGTATCTTTCAATGAGGTTCCAATTGTTACGCAAGTATTTCTGAAATACAATACAACCTTACCATCCTCAGCCCCAGTTGAAAGATTATTTAGCAAAGCAATACAAGTGTTAACTCCTAGACGTAATCGTCTTAGTAATGATGTATTTGAAATGCTTTTATGTTGTAAAACTAATGAATAATGATGAATAATGAATGATTGTTTTTTTCAATTGTACCATTAAATCTATTCATCTTTGTTTTGAATATTAT